ATAAACATTATTAGCAAATAAGTATGATGTAATGATTATAAACTTGCTACTACATTTGGATTTCGTATCTTTGTTATAACTTTTTTATAAAGTATTTACAATCTATGTTTGTATAACATTTTTTTTTATTTCTCTTTGTAGTTAACACAAAAGTTAACACAATAGTTTAAGCAGTTAAACTATGGACATTCTGTATATGAGATGTTTCATAGCACATACAAATATATATCTTGTATTTCGTTTTTAACTTAAACGCTAATGTAAATAAATATCTATTCCCTACCATTAATTGTGAGATTTGTCTAAGAAGATCAGAAGTTGCTAAAATGTTATAAGTAAAAAACTACAGCTAAAATTTAGCTAGTATTTCTCTTTTGAAACCATTTGTATTATTTACTAAACATTTATCATATCAATCAAAATGTAAGAAGTATAGGAATATTCTTCTTCAACTATAATGTCTTAATTAGGTTTACGAAAACGTTCTATCTAACTTCAAAAACTAACCTGAACTAAAAAAACATTTGTTATTTTATGACTTTATAAATATTTTTTTATTACATACTATTCATTACTAGCTTATTGGTAGTTTTGTTGCTAAACTTTTGTTATTCTTTACGAATTCTTTATTTTCAAATGGTATAAATCAGGGGTGTCAAACAGGGAACTCACGAACTCTTCGTAAAAGGAAAAACCCTAGAAAGCTCGAGAATACTGAGCAAAACGGCTAACTTTCATACAAGAGTTAGCTATCTATAATTATCTATATATTTAGACTTCTATATTTATGTGAATAACTTGTATTATTTTAATTATGCAAAAGATCTTTTTAAAAACCGAAACTCAAAATGAACAATAAAATTAAAATTTAAATAGTACACTACATAAATGATTCAATAACAGGAAAATTCTCAGATTTTTTGAAATATTTTGGTGTCTATTGAACTGTCTTATAGTCTTTTTTGGAATTGTTTATGTTATAATTTATATTTATAGCAATAATACTCATCATAAAGAGGTAGGTAAATGGATATGGTCGTCAACTTAAATATTTCAGAATGATAGTCCTGAGATATTTAATCCTTTATTTATGTCACATTCTTCATTTACACTTTTTACTGTGAAAGTTTTGTCATTTAAGGATTGGTCTATTTTATTCTTTGACTTGGTCATTCAAATCATCCTGTTACTGTGTGAATCTCAATTCATTTTATATCCTGAATACTGTGGAAATGGGTCTGCCTTGTGATTGGCAGATCAACAAGCATAAAATCTCAGAACGTGGCCAATATTTATTGGAGACAGGACAATGGTCCGACTGCAAGTTTATTGTTGGACAAGAACCTCATCAACAAACATTAAAAGGACACAAATTATTTTTGGCTATGTCCAGTCCTGTTTTCGAAGCAATGTTTTTTGGAGGCATGGCAGAGAAAAATGATCCAATACCAATTCCAGATGTTCAACCAGAGGCTTTTAAAGCTCTGTTGGAATATATATATACAGATCGAATTGATTTAGGTTCTTTTGAACTAGCTTGTGAATTGTGTTATTGTGCCAAAAAGTATATGCTTCCATCATTAGTAGAAAACTGTACAAAATATCTGTGGTCCGATTTATCTCCAAAAAAAGCCTGCAGAGCATATGAATTTGCTAAATTATTTGAAGAACCAGTACTTATGGAGAAATGTCTCCAAATTATTTGCACAAAAACAGATGAAGTTTTAAAAGAATCTAGTTGGGAAGATATTGAGTTAGGAACCTTATTAACAGTGTTAGAACAAGACAATTTGCAAATAAATTCTGAAATTGAATTATTTAATGCTGTAGAATGCTGGGCAAAAGCAGAATCTGCAAGAAAATCCCTTGATCCTAGCAATGGAAAATCATTAAGAGCTGTAGTTGGAAATGCTCTATTGAAAATTAGGTTTTTAAGTTTAAGTCCTCGGGAATTTGCAGAAGGTCCATGTACGTCACCGCTACTTACTCAAGACGAAGCTTTTGCAATTCTTATAAATATAGTAGCCAGTGGAAATAAAGCACCTATGCCTGAAGGTTTCTCAACTGATAGACACAGCAGAGGGAAAGCATTACCAACTTCAGTGCTAAATTCAGAGTATTTACCTGTAAGTTGCGCTAGTCATAGTAGTAACAATGATGAACTTTATAGTTTCAGCTTTCACAAAATTATGTTTTATTTTTCCTTTTATAGAAGGATAAATTATTAGGTTGGTACATACCACACTCCAGTGGTACAAATGTAGAATGCTATAAGCCAGTTTATGATCCATATAGAGTATTATGTCCACGGGAACATGTATTAAAAGGACCAAAACATTATTGCCGCAGATCAGTACTTCATAAAACAGTTTGCTTTAATAGGAATATTTTAGACTGTTCTGTTACTTTCACTGTAACTACAGGTATTTGCATACTTGGTGTACAAGTACCTACTCAAATTGTGAGTGAGGTGAGTAAAATGTATTAGAACACAATTTAGTTACATTTTATTTTAAATTAATTATTATTGATTATCAATGTTTTACAGAATAATGTGGAGAACATATGGCGTGGAATGTCGTACAATGAAATTTTATACGCTCATCTTCTTGATTCCGATGGTACACGATTAACTTATACACACTTTACAACTAAAGTGGATATAAATACACTTGTGGAAATTTTGTTTAATCGGCCTGTTTACATTCAGAAAAATAAGGTGAATATGTAACCAACTTCTTAAATTTCATAAAATCCTAATTTTTGTATAGTTCTCTACCTAATGCTTATTTTTCTTATTAATTTTAGATATATCGAGTTGGAGTTGTTTTTAATACAAGTGGTTCATACCCAAGGGGAGAGTGTAGTACCCATGAAGAATGTGATTCTGTAAATTTCTCATTTGGCGTTGGTAACAGTGAGGATAGTGTGCGAGATGGTCTAATTCGATCTATAATTTTCACATACCATTAATGTTGGTATTGTATACTAAAAGCAACATTGTCTCACGTAAAGAAGAATCTAGATACATACATTGAATTTGTGATAATACAAAAGTCAACTTTATTATATATTCTGTTCATTATTTTATATTTTAACACGTTAACTGTCATGGGAATACCTAAGAACGGTTACTAAAATCTCATAATTTATTTATCATAATTTATTTATATCTATGTGTAAATATAAACTTTAAAAAAAATAAAAATAAATAAAGACAATACATGATTATTGATTATAGCAAAAATAAGCAAAAAGATTGTGTAGGCCCCACAAACATTTTTAAGAACTTTCTCCTGGCGTTTAACGTGTAAAGTTATGATGGTGCTATCCTTCATAAAATTTTGAAATTAAATTTAAGGATTGTATAAAGTTATATTCACTGGTTGTAGTTATAATGAAACTAAACCTTGTACAAAATAAATTTGTGTAATCTACATAAAAATTTCATTATTTTTATTAAAACTGAGACTAACTATTTATGTTATATTTACTTCTGTATTTCCCTCTGATATCATTTTTGTTACAATAATTTATAAAAATTTCCTTTTATATAAAAACATAATTACCTGCTTATATGTCATTAATTTTATACTTAAGAAGTACATTAAATTATTTTTTAACATTAACATTATGTATTAACGTGTAGTAATCATAAATGATGTTTAGGTTTGTACTTAAATTTATTCATTCATTACATATATACACATACATAATAATTAACAAATTTCTTACAAAATATAATCAATCTATATGATCAAGTATATACTTTATAATACAAAAGGTAATAAATCTGTATCAGTTACAACTTCAAGATATAAATAATAAATATAACTTACAATAAAAAATTGCTTAAAATTTCATATTATAGTATACATAAAAAGTACATGCAGTTTACTGGTAAAATGCTCAATAACATTACAAGAAATATTTTAAATTTGAATATTTCTTTAAGTTTTATGTACAATAAAGTCCCATGTGTCTCGCCATCTCAACTTCAAAACTTCCTTGGCACTTAAATGTGTTGTCCCGTAGCTAAGTAGGGAAAATTTTTTAAATATGTATATAATAAAAACTATCCAGATGAAAGTAATGCATCTTAATATGTGAAACAGAACATTTTGTTGGAATCGAGTCCTGTAAATAAAAAGTAACAAATAAATCTTAACAAATTAATTTAAAAACAATAATATTAATAACTTATTGAACATACTCAATTAAATAGTATAAATGTTCTACTGTTGCTGCTGTAAGCAATAACTTAAAAATTAATGCTGGCAAATAATGATGAAGGAAAAGAGTTCTTTCAACAAATACAAAAGGTAAGAAGTGTAATAAGTATCCAGTTAATAAAATGGTTCCAATATTAGAAAATTTATTCCATTCCATATGTGTAATATCGAAGCACATTCTTCTTCGTCGTAACATATAAAATATAAATAGAAAAGAATATATAACCACACAGAGTGTAGCGGAATACCATATTATTATATTTCCTAAAAGATATATTTGAGCCTGTGATAAAAAAAAATGTTAAAAGAAAAGAGTGATAATACCAGATACTAATAAACTTCAATAATTTATCTGAATAAATGTAATTCAATTTAACTTACATTACTATCATTCGAAACCCAATATGCAATTCCTCTAGACATCAAAGGCCAATCTAAAGGACTGCTAGAATACATATGACTCTTTTGCCCTTCTTGACCACTAAAAAACATTTTTATTTGTAATTCCAAGAATTTTTCCCAAAAACTCAAAGTGGTAGCTTGTAATGGAATCATTTCAGCATTAATTAATTCTCTTTCTCTCTGTTTCTGATCTTCACTTTTGGTATATCTATGTTCCTCAACATTCCACATAGAATCTATTTGATCTATTAATTTATCTGCCACTACTTCGTGTTGGTTGAAACCCCAATCAGGTAATTGCCTTCCGCTAAACTTTAATGCATAATCTGTATTTACATGTATCAAACGCACTTGACTTTGAATAGCATGCCAAATATTGCCATTAGTATTTTTGTTAACAATTTCAACTCTCCAAAGATTTTGTGCTGGCATGGATACATTATAATCAATGTAGCAAGACACTTCTTGACTTTGAGGTGTCATCGGAGCTGCAACATCATGTGAATTTAATGCTCGACTTGTAATTCCATGTACTAACTGTATAATGTCACCATGTTTTATTGGCTCACGAGGTTTAGTAACAACTAAATCATTTCTTTCTGGCTTTTTTACAATCCACCAGTTATTAACATCTTTAAAGGAGTAACATGTAACTTGTTGTTGATGCGAGCTACCTCGACCATCTGGATATTTTAATGGATATATATGATTATGGCTATGAAGCCAACAAGCTCTTCCATATGTGTGCCTTAAAGTAATTTGTGAACCATGCGTAACTTCTAATGGTTGACCTTTTGTAATACTGGCAAGACCACCTTCCAAACTTGCTTGAAAAGCGCTTGTCATTACAGAATCGTGTGGCCCAGCTTTAGAGAGAATAGATAAATGAATATAGAATATAGTCAAATAAACAGTACAAATTACACCCACTATTACAATAATCCTTATTATAAGATGTATATATAATACTGTGCTAGATAAAGATTTTCTTGGTATTAGAGTCCAATAATCAGAAGCAATTAAGAATAATGCAAGAATCAGTGAATATAATCCAACATACTTCACGCTAAAACAAAAAGATAAATTAGTTTCTGGCAATAAATAAATATTAAGACTGAGTAATATTCTTATGAAGGTACCATAATGCACATGTTAAGTTTGCAATACCCAAACTTAGCCATATCCACCAAGATAAAGTCATTGGTTGATCCATTACTTTTCTAAATTTCATAATACATATTAATCCAAATAATGAAAATTGCATTAAAATACTTTCCATCAAAATAAATCTGGATTGTGTTAAGAGAGCATTATCTGAAATATTAATAAAAACATACATAATTAAAATAACTAAATAAAATGCATCATAATAAAGATATAATATAATAAATTACCGAATAACAATAATATTCCCGCTAATGCTGCAGTCCATTGTTTCAAACCCAATTCTAAAATTAAGTGATAGGCCGTTGGAATTAAGAAACTGCCACATAACGCGGGTACTAATCGTAACGCGAACAAAGGAACGTTATCCGCATAGGAGCTTCCAATTGTATCAAATTTAAATTGACCATCGAAACCCGCCAAATATGCTATTACGGAAATAAGCTGTTTTCCGAAAGGAGGATGCGAATCGAAAAAAAATGTTCTTCTCATATAAAGTCCTACATATTTTCCGTAATGTAATTCATCAAATCTGTTCCAAATAAACATAATATTTAGTTATCTTCAGTTATTAAATTAAAATAAGTTTTAGAGTGATATCACGATTAAGTAGTGTTTATTTAGTTGTATGAAAATAATACAATAAATACGAAGCAATAAAAAATCAAACTACTTGGAAACAATTTACGTGAAATTTGCGTATATAATAAAATAGATCATTAACAGTGCATACATAAAAAAACCTAATTTTCTAAAGAATCATACTACTTACATATAAAATTATTTTTAATTGTTTATTATTAAAATTAATGGAAATAACTTACACAATACTGCGTGGTTCTTCTAAGCGGTAAAGACGAGTGACAATTCCACTTATCAGTAAAATAATTGAAATTAAATCGATCTCAAGATTTATTTTAATTTGCGTTCGTATTGCCGTCGTTGCCAGTGATTCTTTCACTTTATATTCCTCAAATGTGTAAGAAGGAATTTCTGCATCTTTCTGTAAAAATATTTTTAAGATCATAATATTTATATGAATAAAGTTTTTCATTACGTTGATATAAATATATCGAAATTAAATTTAAAAATTTGGATATTTTTGATATCCAAATAAAAATGTTGTAAATAAATGTTATTCTAATGTATAGGTAGGAATATTAAATAAAATATGGAAAAGTAAACTTCAAGACAGGTTTAAAATTCTACTACATATGAAAACCCTATTTTTAATTTTAAATAAATTTCTTACTTCATCTCGTAAAATATTTTCGACACAATTGGCAGAAATATCCTCATAATCAAACTTGGCGCTTTGCACTTGTAATTCCTTATTATCTTGTGTCCTTGTTCTACGTCTACGACGAACTTCCATTGCATAAATTCTCTATTGTTAAAACACTATTATGATTTTATATTATTTGATTATTCTGATTTTTTCACTTCGAACAAATGAAGAGATTTCTTAAAACACTACTTAGAGTCTAGCGTCGACACGTCATCAATCGAGGAATAGTTTCAACACAACACTGTCTTGTTTAAAAAATTTTAATACTGAATAAGAGAATATATCCTAATATTCTTATTATCTTTAGAAGTTTGAAATTATTAAATAATACGGTGAATGGTGAAGATTCAATGCATAAAATTGATGAAACAACATTGACCTGAGGTTAATACCCAACAATAAAACATAACGGTACCGTCTCTGAAAATCCTTTTCATTCAAACTCGTATAACGGTTTGTTTTATAAAGTAAGTTACAAAGTTACAAAGTAAAATTAATAATATTTCATTGCCCTAAAAATTAATCGGTATAATGAACATGATCAATATTGTATTTATATGAATGCATTTGTTACAGGTATAAATATGAACACTGGTAATATCACTTGTCCTATTTGCTCTAAAGAATTTTCGTCTGCAGTAATAGAAAGTCATGCTAGTAAATGTTTGTTTTTAAATGAATCAACAAGTAGTGAATCTTCAACTTCTAAGGATAGGAGTCCTGCTAGAAAATTAATTAAATTGAGTGATTCAAAAGTAAAAACAAATAACTTGGGCACAATAAAGAAAAAAAGTAATTTAATAGAGCCATCTTCATTAAATACAGATATTCAGAGTTCAGGAATTTCATCTAATTACAATGTAATAATACCAATGTTTTTTTCTAAGACAATTTTGTAATGTTTAAATTGGTTATAAAGCTAACAATAATTTTAGGTAGATAAAGAAATCAAAAAGTCATTTAGAAGTGATCATGTTCCACTTGCAGAACGAATGAGACCTACAACACTTACAGGATATGTTGGGCAAATGCATATTCTTGGTCCATCTTCTATACTTTTTCAATTATTACAAAAAACTGAAATTCCAAATATAATATTGTGGGGTCCACCTGGTTGTGGAAAGGTATGTATCAAAATTTTCGTATAATAATTTTATACGATTTTAAAATACATAACATTTGGAAAAATATGAAGGTTTTATATATGTAAATATAAAGAATGCTCTAATATTAAAGAGTTTGCATATTTTTCATATGCAATATTTATAGAAAATTGATTTTGATAATTTTTACTATGTTACTAAACGTTTGATGACTAACATGTTATACATTACATACTACTTCTGGTATAGTAATATCTATTTTTATATTGACTAATTACATATAATACATTTTTATTAAAAAAAATATTATTAAATTTTACAAATATCAAAACAAATAAATATTAATAATGTATGAGAGTACTACAGTACAAGAATTAAAGTTTATTTAGAATTTACATTTGGTTT